TCTACAATGTATAATAATATTTATTTATTTAAAGGTCCCATTGATTGACGCTTTTACATTTTGAATATAGCAAGATATAAGTACAATAAATCGAACGCACTCGTTACCGACGAAAAATACCGAATGGTTACCTGTTTATAAACCCATAAAGTTCCCCTTTAAACACACCTGTACGGAAAGGGACGGAAATATTTCCGGAAAGTGCCGATCGGCATTTTTCCCCAGTTGCTCGGGTGTGACGTCATTCCAAGTACATACAATGGCCGACTACAGAGAAATACATGACAGCGAGAGCGAATATTCGTCAGATAATGCTTTTTCTGAGAGTGAAGATGAAGAGATTCAGACTTTACCTTACCAGTTTGAGCCAATTGTGCGGCTTGATGAAGGAAATTCAAATAATCAAGCCGATGTGATCGAAAACGAAGAGCCGGAACGATCGGGCAACACAAACTGGTATGAAATTGTAAAGCATTTCTTTTTCATTGTTTTGTTCAACTTCAGTGGTGCAAATTCGAGTTTCTATACACCCAATGGAAAGAATATTGTAAAGTTATTTAATTAATAAATTCAATTGTATATATATTTAATATAGGAGGATTACTAGATTGTAACAAGTAACATACCCCACCCACTAAAATCAATTTCGGCAATGAATCGGCACTAAATAAAATTAAACAACATAAGACCATACCTATCGTAAATAACATTCATAAGAAGTAAATTTAAAACTAACAAAATCGAAATTAAATATTTGTTGACTGTTCTTACGGAAATAAAAAACATGTCATTTTTAAAAGGCATCAAGGAGTCCCCTCTGTAAATATTTGCTGAGTGATCACTTTATATGTATTAAACCAATAAAATGAGATTAACCTTATATACTGTTGCTTTAGACCCCGAGACTATTCCAGAATAAAGTCTAGTTTACTAAGCTGATTTTTTCTTTTCTTGTACTATCATTTCAGGTGTGAATGTGAGAACTGTAGAGCAATGGATACAGACAGAGAATCTATCTGTTGTAATGAGATTGACAGTGTGAAACTAAAGATAGAGCAGTATAAGGAAGAAACGGCAACAGAACTTTCCTGTATAACCCGGCATCCTGGTTTCCAGTCTGTTTGTCTCGACAGGTATGTCTTGGAGACTGCCTACTACCAGTACAGACAACAATATGGCGAGGTTGAGCATACAAACAATGAGTAAGTGTAATAAATATAAAATTAATTTTTTGTCAATAGTTTAAACTATTCAACTGATATGTTCTGTGTTTGTGCACTACATAAGTCATGAAGGCATTTTCTTAGAGGTGACGTGGCTGAATATGGAATTGTGCCTGTGAAATTTTGTAAAATTATTTTATACTTTACATAATTAATACAGGCCAACAGGGGAAATGAAATTCTTGAGATTTTTATCAGTTACTTAAGGCATAGATATACATACAATATTTAGCTTCATACTTAAAATGGCTACACACTAGATTCAAAAGTTCAATTTGTAATAATATTCATGTAAAGCTATAATTTATTAAAATATTGTAATGACTTCCCAGATATTGCTCTGACAACTAAGTAATTTCTTGCTTTTTTTCAGACGACAGAGATATGTTGCCTACAGGCAGTTAGCCAGGTGGTGTTGGGGATACCTTGGCAAAGAAGTTCGAGTTGTGCTTCCCTCATGTGCTGTAAACTTGATAAGAAGTACTTTCCCATCAGACGTTTACAAAGGGTTTTCTGATGCATGAAATAAATTATAAAAAGAATTATTAAAAGTTGTAAATGTAAATGATTTTTTCTTTTCTCTTGTCTACCGGTTATTTCCAATCTCGAGTTGAAGCATCTGGCTAACTAGTATATTATTTGAATCCAATGTCCATAGTGGGACTGTCAAAGACAGAAAAGGCTGGGATGCATTTGTATACCAAATATCATGATGCTGTGATGTTACGAAAAAAATTTACCATTGACCATTAATGTCGAAAATTTAACTAAGTAAACAGGATGTGGTTGAGCTACAGACCTAAAATCAAAATCCACGGTATGGGACCACATGTTTATGATGTATGCCAAATATCAAGAGACTGTGATAAGTAGTTGCTGAAAAAACTGTTACAAACAGTTTTCCCCCCGTCTGCTTGCCCTACATTCACCATACTATAACCGGGGTTTGCACCTGTGCAACCCGACCAAACATCTATTAATAGCTGTGGTCTCTTTGTTAATGTGTCGCTATGAACCTAATTTGTACAAAATCTGAAAAGTATCACACCTATACAGCTACTGACCCATGGTTAAATAAGCAGAACAACAATTAAATTTGCAACAATTTTAATCTTTATCCTGCAACTAATGCTTTTAAATAACTATGAACAAATTCATTTTCTCAACAGCATTCTATATCAATGAACATTAAAAAACATTCAGCAAAAACAATAAATCTCTATATACAAATCAAGCAATAATATCCAGTAAAATCTAAACGCCATAACCAAAAAATTGAAATTCTGTCACACAACTGAATAAAATATGCAAATGATCATACAAAGAATTGATATATGCTGAGAATATGTGAAAATCTATGTCTGTCATGTTTGGGCCATTTTTGCACAATAAAAATACTGTTCATTTAGCAGAATTTCTTTTAGCTTGAGCATGGAATATAATACTGTCAGTAAATGAAAGCCCCTATTGCTTTTAATCTGGGCTATATTTAAGAAAGGGAAGATAATTCTGTATGACTGATGGAGTTCATTGCCTAAGCAAACAATTTAAATGGGAAAAGATGCAATTGTGCGACCATTAATAAGTAGTCTTTAGTATTATTGAATTAAAAGAAAATTATTTATACAAAATGGTTCAATGTTATTTCACCTTTTCAAGTTTCAATTCATTCCTTTCAGTTGGTTTTATTATACAAACTTGCATGTACAAAAAGTTAAGTGTTATGCCCACACCAACTGCACACCTTGACGAGTACAATAAATGTCATTTTTCTTCTAATCCTTGAGCTAAAATGCATACACATGGAAGTGAACAAGCAATCAAAGTTTGAAACGGATAACATCTGTAGTTGTAAATTCTTTAAAATTAAAATACAATACATGTATATGGATGCTTGAAGCCCAACTTTCATAAAAACGACTTGTTTAACTTTTTTTGAGTGTAAAATATATAATGTAATTTTGTATCCTGCAATTTGACTTCATTGTTTACATTTGAACACAAACATACAAATAATAAAGTTATCGGCAGTTTAAAGCAGAAAATAGTTTCTTATAAACACTGTAAAAAAATGTCTTAAGACTGTGCAAACTTTGTTTGCTCATAATGTTCACAAGTTTTTTCTAAAATTTTAGTTTTTTATAACGAGATGACAACTTTGTTACTGCTTCTGCTTTGCTGGGTTTCCTCTTGCCTGATGTCAGGGGTGGCGGTATTGGTGTTTCCATAGAATTTTTTTTACCACACATTTCTAATGTTGTATCTAAAAGTGTTTGCACATATAAATAAGTATTCTCTGTCGACACAATTTTCACAGAATAGTCATCCCCAGTTTTAAATTTTGGGAAAACAATTTTAAATTTGAGGTTTCCATTGTCTGATTTCCTTGGCTCTCGTTTGATATTTTCATTGAAGTGAAGAGCAGCTAAATGCTGTCTACACAGCTGCCCATAATATGAGTAGCTGGTCATTTTAGGTGCAAAATGGTTTATCACACTGTGAAATGATTCCAATGTTGATGTCTGAAAACCTGTTGACATCTTCCTGATGGCCTTACATAAATGAGTCCCCCATACAATATCTTCTATCTTCACAGCTGCTTTACTTCCTGAAAAACACATTATAACAAGCATGTTATATTTAAATTTTGATGTGTACAGTTAGTGTACTCCCATTAACAGTTCAGGAGTTTAATTATTTATCAAGATCTTAGACACTGTCAATAAACTAGATGCCAAAGAGCCCACTGTGACATCTGACATTGAGGTATGACTTTGTCAAACAGTTATTGTGTGCGATATGCCATCTCATAATGTTGAATATTTGTGCCAAGTTATTTGAAATTCAAGAATTACGTCCCGGACAAGCATAACCTGACGGACACATGGATGACTAGACAGACACATGCACATACAAACACTGCCATTGTGACAATTACGTGCAGCTCTCCACAAGTGGGCTTGAAGGAACTGCTGTACAGCTCAGCAATATAAGAGAAAACCAGTAAAAATGTTGGAATGAAGTTCAGAGGGTTAATTGCAAGTAATAGTAGTTATAGAGACAAGCAAGTTTACCTGGCTTCAACCATACTCTGTCTTGAAGAAGATCATGCTGACATTCTTTATAAGGCCCTTGATGACCATGATGGATATTCTGAACATGACTGGAAACTGATTTCCATTTAGACTCCATAAGATCACTATCCCCTTTATTACAGGAAGCAGCTGTCCAATACAAATGGTTGGTTATACTCTTTATCCATCTGCTTACATCTTGACAATCCTTCTCTTTAGCTAATGACAATAACTTTTTCTTCACACCTAAGTCAAACAAAACAAATGTACATGTACTGATGTACTGTAAATGACCAAATGTTTAATGATACTTTGATTATGATATCAATACAACTCAGCTTTTTTACCATACTTTAATGACAAATACTTAAAGAAGAATCGAAGTATCACGACAAGACCAAGCAGTAAATGTGTCAGATTATATCAATCTATGAGTCCAATCCCTGTTTTATGCAATCTTTTATTTACTTGAGCAAGATACTTCCAATACCATTTTATTAAAATAAATTTCGTAATAACTAAGAACCTAAAGTGAAAGTGTAAAGTGCATGTCATATTGTTCCAATAAGAAAAAGTGTTTATTGAAACAATTGATAGAATAGTGGGAAGAAGATGACCCAAAAAGGCTTGTTGAAGTTCATCAATTTTACAAAAAATATAAATATGAGCAGCCTATTTTCTTTTCTGTATTTATTACCTTTAGCAATATGCCACACATCAAAACTATGGACTGTAGATGGCATGTTCTCTCTGATCCATTTCTGTATCTGCATGTGGCGATCTGTTATAATTTCTAGAATATTTTTTCCAGCCCCATTTAATGCAGAAACAGCTCTCTTTAAAATCCTTCAAGCTCCATATGGTAGCTTGATTTTACTTCATTACTCTGAAAATGCAAAATACAGGATCACTTACACGTCTGCAAAAATGACAAGTTACTAATTGACATAAGTTACTAAGTGACATAACATTCAAAATTGTAATGTACAGAAAAATCTCCTAAACTAAAAGCATTATAAAAATGGAGGTAGTGCTTTGCCATCAGTGGTTATTTTTTTTTCTCTATAACCACTACCCTAAAACGGTACTATTCCAAATAGTAAATAGACATTAAAATTCCCAATTTCTAATGTTTAAATTCCAAAAATGGCTGTTAAAATTTCCACAAGACCAAGTTATTTCTCTGAAATCATTTAAATCCAGCATATTCATATAAATCATCACTCAATAGTTCCATCTGGACAGTGGCAGCTGTTACCTATCTTTATTCATGATGACTTATCTTATTTGTAGCAGAAAAAATGCATTAAAAAATTCCCAAATTTAAATAAAAATAACACATTTTTCCTATCAGTCTAGTATCGGCACCATTCCCAAAGAAGAGGGAAAAAAACGCTGTCCATGTATGCAAATTATATGGCAGAGTTCTAATTTTAAAACAATAATCACTATTAGTTTTTCAATAAACAGTCGTCATCAAGACTCATTCGTAAAATAATGTGAATCAGATCAGACATAAAAAAGTCATACATTTTATAATTTTGATTTTGTTCCCCAGGATATCTTGAATATTCTATAATTGAATTTTTATTAATTACCTGTACGAGATGGAGACCAATGACTTGACCAGAGTTCATGTCAATTAGTGAGTAGACACCATACTTTGCGCAATGACCAGGACTGTCTGCTCTTCCATCACCGGCCACAACAACTTCTCCTCCTCTTTCTCTTAATGTTCTCATCATTCTAACACAGTAGTTATTCCAAGTTCTTTCTATGACAGGCCAAAGAATTCTTTTCTGATGGTCAAAAAATGTATTCACTGTGACACACATAATATTGATAAAGTTAAACACACGTAGGAACTTTGTTGGGGAACATCCTGAAAACAATATCCCAGCACTCAATAGAATATTACCAGCAGGCACTCCATTAACTTTTGGCTGAGAATCCCAGCGCCTTGTATGACCGCAGTCACATATCTGACGCACCGCAACATATGAACCCTGGACCTGGCTTACTTGTGCTTCGGTTTTATGACCACAAACTTGACAAGAATTAAAAAGTTCCATAAGATTGTCTTCAAACACAAGAAACTTTCGTTGCTTTACTGGGTCATCTCTACAAAAGAAAATAATTGAAATAGATAAAAAGAATACATTACCATTATTTATTTGTATACCAAAAATATTATTTCAAATATACAGAGATTATTCAAGTTTCTTCTATAAATACAGGATTTATTTTCATCAGGTGGTATGAAAATAAATTTTTCAAGAGTTTCTATAGCAACGAGTGAAATATGATAATTTTCATATCACAAGATGAAATTAAATCCTGTATAAATAAAAAAAAACTTGGCATTGTCTGTTTATTATATATTTTTTCTCTTTTTTAACCTTATGGATAGGAAGAATTCCCTTTATTTTGTGTATTGGCTGATTTAACAAGAAAGTAGCCTGGCAAGTTACCAGTGAAAATACAGAAAATAGGTTTCACTGCAGTGAAAAATAAATTTTTGAAGTGAAAATACTGAAAATAAAAATAAGCATTTTATTTCATCAATATTTCATTTATAAGTAAATAATAAACAAATGTATTTCTCAATTTCAGAAATTAAACCAGTTGACGGACACTTACAAACAATTTTTAGAGTGTGTGAGTCAGAAAAAAGTTTACAAGGACTTTTAATGTTTTTTTTTTGTTTTTTTTTTAATCATGCAGTCCTCTGACAATTGATGAAGGAATAATTATGACATGATGATATCATCATCAATTAGTGAAATATTATCATAGATTTCTTCTAAGGAGAATATTAATGAAAATAGCTTTTGTCAATTTATTTTTCATGGATAGGTTTTCAAGTTACACCAACATAATAAAGTTCATAGGAAAACTTTTCAGCTTTTTTGTCGGAGAAAGACCTCATAAGCCTCTCCATTCATTATTTCAGACACAAATTGGCACCCGGGCAGAACCACAAATGTTCCCTTAGTTAGCTTGATAGCTTTCTCACATGAAAGAATCAAAAGTCCATGGAGGGTTTTGATGGGCATGTCAATTAACTAACTATTTTTAATTCTCATTACTCTGCAACCATGAAAGACATGACTTACTGTTTATGGCATTCTTCATCAGTGTCACTGTGAAAGGAATCATCTGGCATGTAGTCTGGGTCATTTTCTTGGTCATCCATGTATACAGTTGATGCTGACTGGAATGACGTGTTCAGTGGTGAGAATATGGTAACTTTCTTATTAGATGTTGACAGTGTTAAACAATGGAGTGTATCATCTCTGTCAGGGAGACATTCACTACAATCGCTAACATTATACTGGCTAGATGAAGAGACCATCCTAACTGTATGTCTTCGCAAAGTCTGAGTAGCTGAAAATGACAAATAAAATCTACAAATGTGTCCACAGTGCACTTATCCCCAATGTTACCATAACAGCAAAGTTTATTTGCCATTCATAAAGACGGTCCAGAGGCATTGTTGTCTGTTTCAGTTGGACTGAAAACAGACTTTAAATTGTGATTTTTGCCACTTGCATACCTGACCCAATAGTACCTGATTCAAAACTGATCTAAGCCAGCTTTAGAGTCAGACTTTGGGTCCACCTAATCTTTAGTCCAGTCAGTCTTTGAATAGTTTTTAACCAGTGGATCATAGATTCAAGCCCTAATCCGGTCACAGCCATGTTCCTTCATATGACAACAGTACTGGCTGGTTCCAGGAAGCGAACTTGAAAGTGACAAATATAAGTTGCAAGAACTTAACTACGCAATCAAGCTTAAGTATGTTTAATCAAACTAAGTTACCCCAATGATGGGCCAATATTGATGTTGGCAGTTGTAGATTCATAAATTATCATATTTATCTCAAAACGTACTAAAGCATATAGTTAAACCTGTAACCAAGATTTACAATTTAAAAGGTGTTTCTTACTGGTAAGCTCAACAGTCACAAATAACTGATTAACTGAATATTATACACTACCTTTCACAGCATTTGTGACTTGAACTTTTCTGCTGACTTGAACTCCCTTAACTGTTGTTCCAGGCTTTACCTGGGTCCCTGTAGAAGTTGTTTCGGGCTTTATACAAAGACATCTACCATCCTCCTGTAAAGATAAAAAAAATCCATAGCTATATACATATATGACATAGACACTGGTTTCTAGTTCCTACTGATTGGGCTGTAACAATTCAACAAGTGTTCTATTTGATATCTGTCACCCTTTTATGATTCATGTCTGATTAAATTTTGTCGTTGCTTGACAATTCCGCTCATTTGCCATAAATTCAGCTCTTCAAGACACAAAATCTATATGCATCAGAATGTCTAACACAAATTCCACATTTTTCTACATTTTTTTAATAACTGAAACAAACATACCTTGATCAAGTCTGAAACCTCGTCCTGGGCACATTGTGGTGGGCACTGACTCTTGTTTTCTTCAGATGTCTTTATAGGAAGATTTGCTCTCTGTCAAAAAGATCATTAAGGAAATAATTAATTTAATCAGAATACAAAGAATGAAAGATACATAGAGGATATTTGACTGTTTTGCATGTAAGATTGAAATATATGTAAATAATTGAACACCAGATGCAATAACTTTATGAGTGGCGTAACCACAAGTGAAGATAGAAAAGTTGGTGTTCACAAATGAAATACATTTTAATCTTATATGAATAACAAATAAATTTTCTTTTTATTTCATACTTTTAAGTGATTTAAAGTATTTTTACTGATATTGCCGCTTAACGTCGTGCATTCTCTTATGAGACATCATCACACCACGTCATCAATTTTGAAATATAGTTCTGTTAAAATTTCTCTACTTTGGTTACATTTTGAACATGATGTAAGATCAGATGATATTAACTGTCTGTTCCTAAAGAAGCAAAAATTACTTATGACAGCAATCAGCTTTGCCTATTACTGTATCCTATTTAGTTATGATATTCTTTTCACCGACATTCACATATTTTCCGGCCACAGTAAAATTTATATTTTAAAAATTGCACTAGTGGTTTATCAGAGTATAATCATCTGATATATTACAGTAAAACACTAGAAAGCATGAAACAAATGACTGGATTTCAACAATGTAATTACACATTACTGTTGGTCAGTATTTTTTTAAAAAGTACAACTACTAATGGATGCTGACATATGTAATAGAAAGATCAGTGAAACTTGAGGTTATTTTTTTGTATCAGTGAGCAAAATTCCTATGTAGAAATGTATGTATGTTGATCTGGCATTAGGCTAGCTCTTTCTTTGAAGACTTGGCTAAATCACAGAGCTATACAGTGTTTTTTCCCACTTAATTGGGAAGAGGCCTTAGCCTCTTGATTTTGGGAAAAATTATCGCTAAAACTGCTGATTTGGGAAGTAAAAAAGCTGGTTTAAGTTCAAATTTTTGGGAAAACTGCATGATTTTAAAGAAAATTTCAATTGGGAAGAGGCCTTTTTTCGGAGTCTGTTATGTAAGTAGGAAAATCACTGCTATATTAATATGGACAGGAAACTATGATGTAATCCACTTTAAATCTGTATAAGAGATTTATTGATCAGCATGTTCACATTTTGTGAGATTTTCTGAGATAATAAGTTCACAGCCATGTTTCTTATAAGAAGCTATAGAAATCAAAAAAGTAGTAACAAAATAGAAGTCGCAAAATTGTAAAAGAACAATAAAGATTAAAAAATGAAAAGATTTTTCTCAATTATGGATTAAACTGCTTTAACACTTTTAAGAAGAAAATAATCTTTAAAAAGATCCATACTTCTGTCTGTACTGATAAACTGTCCTCAGACTCCTGATTGTTCTCACTGACACATGGCCCATTTTCACTAATCTCAGGTAATTCGGCATCACTATGTATCTAAAACAAAATTATCATAATTCATGTATATTAGACAATCAATGTTATTAAACCAAAAAGAAAATTATGAATTCTCTACAGCTGTCATTGATTCAGTGAAAAGCATATTTGATTTATACATTGATACCCAATGACACACTGAAATTTTGTTTCTGTGAATACAGTGAAACACTGAAATATTGATATATTTTCTCCTAATCTTTAGTATATAATTCCTTTCATAGCTGTTTAAAATGGAGTAAAACACATGTTCTGTTTATACAAATTATTGAAATATGTTCGGATTATAAATGACCTTTGCATGATTTTTCCTAACTGATTTTTTGCCATCACTGCTATGAAATGGGTCCATTGTGTAATAGCAGCTTAGTGTTTGACATGGCCACCTGCTATTGTATATGTTTTGGATAATTTTTCGAAATTAATTATTCCTAGACATTTTAAGTGTGTGAGGCTATACATCTGCTGCAAATATTATTGTTTGAGTTAAAAAAAATCTCCCAAAATTCTTGAGTGGAAAATCTATGTTCTTTAACTGCATTAAAAATGAATAGTGCATGTACAAAATCATTGCTAAATAGACAAGAGCGTACTTAAAATAGTACTAAGCAGAACAATACTATGTTTACATACAATATTCATGTGTGTTAAATAACAGTGGCAAGCATCTAACGCTACAATTAATAGCCTATAAAACTTGGGGTCTTTTATCAAAACCAAGTTCAAATACTTCCATTACTAAGCTAAACACAAACTGAGAGTACAGATTTAGCTTGTGTATGTGGAAACAAATGTTCACTTGATATTTACCGTTAGCGTCTCTTTCACTTGTCCAGTGGAGGGCTGAAGTAGTGCTGGTCTGACTGGTAGGGGTTGCTCAGCATGTCCAGTTGGTGTGACTTCATATTCTCCAATAATCTAAAAAAATGTATTATTATTATATTAATTATTTAACAAATTTTTAACAGAAGGTCTAGATGCATTTCTTTAGCAGATTTTGCGTAATTTTCTATGATGAAACATACTTTGTTTGCCCAATTTACAAAATGAATATTTGTGTAATTTACAAAATGAATGTAACATGAGCTGAATACAGGCTAAGTTGTTCCAAGTTGATCACACCAAGCTGACTTGAAATCAATCTAGTGATATATCCTTGAGATAGCCTAAGCATTTTACAAATTACAGTGCAAATTTCATCCAAATGTTCCATGTATGACTTCGTAGAATTCTATAAATTTTGCAGACCACATAAAATTTACTTTGAATTTTGATGTTTTAAAAAATATCCAACTATATTCTTTCTTTAACAAACATTTGTTGAGACGTGCTTGACCTGTATACAGTAGGAAGTGGCTAGCCGTACGGGCCCGTACGGCTAGCCAAAAGTTCTAGCCGTACGCGAGTCACGTACGACTAGTCTAGACAAACTGTATTGGCTAGTCGCACGCCACTTTTAAAAAATATATGGAAGTCATAAATGCATATGTTATTTTGTTTCTTTAAACAAGTGTTTACTGTAACCAACGCCTCGATTAATCTCTAAAAAGTAAACATTCTTGACTAAAATCCTCGCTTTAAGTCATAATTAACATATGCAATTTCGCCTTCCATACATTTTTTAAAAGTGCCGTACGGCTAGCCAAAACAATGTGTCCTGGCTAGTCGTTCGTGACTCACGTACGGCTAGAACTTTTGGCTAGCCGTATGGCTAGCCACTTCCTATACAATAACAGTTCATATATTAGCCACAAAATTTACCTATTTTAATATGTATTTTTCAAAAATTTGACATCAAATAAATATGCATAGAAATACACTTACTCTTTCCAATTCACGTTTTCTAAAGGCTCCTCTAGAACTTGGATTCTCTACCCTATTCTTATACTCCTGTATCTGTACACCGAACAGGGTAGGCACCGCTTCGTCAGTAAGGGCAGCCTTGTATGGTAATCCCTGCTGCCAATGCATCCTTGTGGTGAGGGTAAAGCACGTGAATTCAAAATGTTCAGAGCATACCAATTGTGCTTGTGCTGATTTTGAAGAACTAGGTCCATTCCAGTCAGCTCTAGAGACATTCGTTCCTGTACACTTGATAGCCCTCACCCATTGTTGTCGAATGTTCGTGTCCTTAGGGAATTGATGTAAACTAACCCGCTCACTTCTTTTATTGCTGCATCCTCCAACAACACATCTCGCGCCTCCCATTGCTTAAATCCAACCAATTACGCTGAATAAGTCTAAAAATTACTGTACGATATTTTTTTTCAATGTTTCCAATATGGCGATTCTCGAATGAGTACTGGGTGTGACGTCACACCGAGTTTCTTCCGACTTTTTCCGTAAATCGCCGAGGTGCGTTGAATCGTAAAACGCGTGAAATACTGGCCAATGATAAGCGGTGATTTATGCTCCAATAAACACGACAGCAGTCGGTAATTTCCGCTGAATAAGGTTTAGTGGCTTTTTCTTACGAATATAAATGGAAATATCGCTGTGGTAAATTACCAACCAATGGGCCCTTTAAATCTCATTCATGCACATACACAAATAAAATTCATAAGCAAACATAAAACACAGAAAAGTACCTGACCATTCAATCATTGAATTATAAGAGACTAGTAAAACATTTATAATAACACGAAAATATCATACTAATCATAAAATTATATCCTACTATAAATAATAACTAACTACACAGAACAAATACTATAAATTAATGGAAAGAAATATACATTTATATATTTATATGATTAAAAAAAACAGTCGCTATTAATGTTTATGAAACTTAAGGTAATAATCCAAGCGAAATCATAATATTTCAGATATATTTTAATTCATTATTAGACTAATTGGACATTTGTAACATTAATTCATAAACCAATTAATTAATTTATTTATTTAATCAATTTATTAAAAAAATAATTTATTTATTTATTAATTCATCAATTTATCAATCTATTAATTTATTAATTAATTATTTATTTATTGATTTCTTTATTTAATTAATTAATAAGTGTATTAATTTATTAGTTTATTAATATATTGATTTATCAATATGTTAATTTAATTATTTATTTTTCTATTTATTTATATATTTATAATTAATTGAATGAATGAATGAATGAATGAATTTATTTATTTATTTAGAATTAATTAATTAACTAATAAATAAATTAATAATTAATTAATTGAGTAAATAAATAACTAATTGGACCGGACCTATTTCATTTTAAAAAGGTCGGAACCGAATATTAACATGTAGAAAAACTTTTACTGTTAAACTTCCGATCCAATAAGTAAAACAAAAAAAAAGATATAGATGAATTCTCCCATAATGTTATTCTCCCATCACGCTCTAATGGGGTATTTCTCCAAGTTAGCCATCATGGGAGATTTCTCCCATTTTAATTTTGGGAGGTTTCCGCACCATTTTAATTTTGGGAGATTTCTCCCATTTACTAAATGGGTTAGTTCAGCCAATGGGAGAATTGCAAAATTCTTTAAATATATTCCTCGAATACTTATAAGTTTATTATAAGTATTATATATTCAACACATGTAAAAATATTTAGAAAAAAAAAATATTTTTCCTCCCATGGATTTATTCTCCCACTTTAAGAAATGGGGTTTCAACCCCACTAAAGTCCCAGTGGGATACGTAAAAACCCGTGGGAGAATTGAAAAACCCCATGGGAGGTCACACTTTGAACGCTCACACAGCGTTTAGTTATTGCGCTATCTTTGTGTAATCGGTCAATAATCGTCTATTTTTATCCAAATTACTGTTTGATTTAACTTTTTGTATTGAAACTATGTTAAAAAGGGTAGTTGAGTTTGCGAAAATTCCGGATTTGCAAACTTATTCCGGAGGCTGTTATACATCTTTTCTTTTTTGGCTATCCCATAACCCCTGAACATTCATTGAGACAAAATTTATATTTTCAGTCATTTTGTCAAAAAATCCCCAAAACAGTAATAATGTTTGATCATGGAAAAATTATCAGTTTTAAAAAAGTAATTTAAACTGCTAAGTAAAGAAAAATACCAGAAACATGATCCTCTCTGCATTGACCTATTTAATTCTTAAAACATCTTTCCCTTATACAAATAGAAATTTGGAAAAAAGAAAAGAAGGCTGTCTGTGTTTTGTTATATTTTTAACACTTTTTATACTATAATACTGTTTAATTTAGTGTGACCTGTAATTAAATTATGTTTAACTTCACCCCACCATAGCTTTTTGTGTATAACTATAATAATTATATATATAGGAGACATACATGAATATTAATTATAAATACAAAAAGCAGAAAGAGAAAGTATGCATAATAAGCAACATTGGGACTAACCATCCATACAAAGAGTAGGCTTACACATACTTAAGTATAAAAATATGGCATTAGCTTCTACAATTTTCACACATCACATAAACTGAGTACATAATATATACTGTAGTAATCTCTAAAAACAAGATTACAGAAAAAAGAAGCGCAAGTCAATATTTCAGAGTTACGGTCTGCAATTGTCGGCATGAATGGCTAAAAACCTGTCTAATATTAACAAAATACAATAACGACACGCGATAGTTCGATTATATTACATGTTTTAAATTTGTTAAGGTTTCATTTCCTTGTTTTGCCGCTTACGTGATTATATTAATTTTTCACCATTATTGCTTGTGCAAAAAGAAAAACAAACTGAAAAGCGAACTCTCAATGACTCATCTAACAAGTCACATCATTCTTCGTAATATGTTATATTTACGCTTGTAATTCTAACCAGCTGAATTGCGTAAATAAACAAAATTAGCTTTGAAAAATATATGTCTAATATAAAGTAAGTACTGTAGCGCAATAACTGGTGACGTAGACGTTTATGTGTAAATACATGATGCTTTGCAATAGGCCAATCAAAAGCGCAATTTATCTCATTTGATTAACCTACGTAATGCACATCGGTAGTTTACGACCAATGAAAATAAAGTAAATCTATAAAAGCTTATGACAGGGCATTATTTACATAAATCAACAAACAAAACAACGTGTGATATTGAAAATCAAACATGTGTGTATCAATCATCAGTTTTAACACATCACGCAACTATATACAGTTTGTATCATAAATCTATCGTTTCTTCTAAGTCACAAAGAGTTAAATTAACCTTCTTTTTCACACTTTAGAGTAAAGGCCTTGAAAGATCTGTGTTCATATCTACCTTCATCTTTCTTCCGTTTGTCAAAAGGACAATAATTTTGCCCTCGTCTGACCAACAGTTTTTCACTTCCTCTTTTTAAGACAGTTTTTCAAGTAGTCTCGCATTTCTTAATGTTATATCCTCCCTGTCCACCTGGATTGATCCCTTTAATTTCTTCCTGGCCGTTTATGTGTCCTATATATGAATCAACAGATGACATATTACATACTTTCTGGTAGTTAAATGTTCTGGTTGACCAGACTTAAAACAGTTAATTACTTAACAACATGGAAAGCTGAAAGTCTTAGAATAAAAGGAAATATGTGAGCAGGCTCCTACGCAGATAATGCAAATTAACCCATGGCTCTGAGAAGAGAATGGACGTTATTGCAATAAAAAATAGTAAACCTTTTAGTTCAGGGTCCCGGACCACATTTGTTACTTTCAATTTTGATGGGAAAGTTACTTTAAAATACCCCACAGTCTGAATTCAGAAATTTCTAGGAGAATGACCCTTTGTTCTACTGATTTAAAATGGCTGCGACGTGGAATTTAAATTCTACCAAGGCCTTTCAAATAGAGTTTCTATTTGAAAGGCCTTGGTAAAATTTAAATATATATAGATTTTATAGGCAAATTAGAGGATAAGGGGTGTTTATATATTTAGTCATCGGGCAAAAGCTTAGAAGTTGACAAAGAAAAGAAAATCCTTGTGGACCTCTTCAAAATTTATAAGGACCATTGCTATTGGCTTCAAAAGTGTGCTTTTTTTTTCATTTAATTATATAGGAAATTAAATTTAAAAGTTTTCTCAACTGTTGCGGAAAATATTTAGTATCAATAATTGCCTATTTGACAATATCAAGAATAATACAAATCATGGCCCTTGATTAAAAATGTCTAAGGCACAGAAACCTGAGTCCTATATTACTAAAGTGTCTGCTTTTTTGTCCATGTTGACAAATCAAAACACAATACATCCGTTTTAATACCGCTTATACCTTCAAAGTTTTATCCGTCCGATATCTGAGGTACCTGATACTTGACATCGATAACGGGACAATTTTGATTAAAATAGTAATCAAGCATAACCGGAGTCATACCAAACGATGGGGCAAATGACGTATATCACTCCTTGTCAACTTAATATACCGTCAGAGTTGGAATATATTTAAAGAAGCAGCTCGTATAAAATTGATAATACTGTGCACTCGTAAAATATGAAACGATATTTAGGTAAAATATTTTAAAAGCCATTACAAGATAGGAAATATGAATAGAGTCCCGTTCCCAACTGCTTATGCTTAAGTCTTTATAAATGCGCTATATTATAATTTGCCTTATTTATATTGTTCTTAAAACAATATTCACTTGCAATTAATGGGGATACACTTATGGCTACGCAATTATTTTGTTTCTTCAGCCTTATTAACATTGATTGCCCTCGTACATTTATTTTTTTTTAACATTCGCGAAGTTAACGGTATCATCGAAGGCTACAATACTATAAACCAAATGTTTGGCAATCAATTCAAGAGTTCAATCAACCAAAAAATATATGATATATAATATATGATAAAAAAAAGTTCACCAAGGAAAGGCGGCGTTCAATGAACACAGTCCCCACCCGACCCAGTAACAAGAGTCAGTGGCAAGGAGCCCAGGAGGACCCCAAATGAAAACAGGACAGGGCACAAGACAGAGCACGGACAAGTTAATCAATAAAAGATAAATAATTTGTAACTGATAAGGAATTCAAAGAAAACAAATAAATAATTAAATAATAGGCCCACAAAGTCACAGGGAAGGAGACAGGAGACCGGGGGAAGGGGGGGGGGGTAATCAAAGAAACAAAAAAGGGGAAGATACTTACCGTAGACGAGATAACAACAAGGGACACAAGCAAAAGTGTCACCAAAACAGTATGAAACAACATAGACATGTACATCTGAGGAACACAGAGCGGCGCCGCCTTGGAACGGTCAGCAGCATAATAATAAGCCACCTTCAAGTTTGTACATAAGGTATAATGAAAAAGTGCAACATATTTCACGTCCTCTAACACGGGCTTAACCGGTTGTCAATACTTCACACTTAAAAATGCTTGACTCAATGATCCCGAAGGACCAGAAAAATATAACAACACTGAAGTGAAGCGCGGAACATCTTTTAACGGCTGCCACACAGTACATAACACCTGCCGTACTACTCGATAATCCAGAAGGACCAGAAATATAACTACACTGATGGAAAGTTTTACGGCTGCCACACAGCACTTTACACCTGCTGGTTGCTGAAATGATGTATAAATATCTTGAAAAAAAATGATCCCTCGGAAGCATTCGAATCAGAAAAAATACATTTAAACTGAGGACTCGGTGTGATTCAGTCTGTACATTAGGAATAATGCAAAAAAGCAACATCCCTCTCGCTCTCTTGCACTCTTGCACCGACTTAAGCGGTACTCAAAACTCAACACTTAAAAGTTTTGGACTGAATGATCTACAAAAAAAAAACAGAAAAATATAACTTCGCTGAAAAGAAGTACGGAGCAAATTCTTCCGGTTGCCTCACAACACTTCACACCTGGCGTTGTAATGCATATTAAATATCTGGAAAAATGTGATCCCTCGGAAGCATTTATAACAGCAAACTTACCTGAAATTGCAGGCTTGGTTTGGTTGAGTTTGTACATGAGGGATAATGTGAAAGTGCTTTATTTACTCGTAAAATTAACTCATAAATTAGGCAAAAAAGTATATAAACTGATATAAATTTGAAACAAAACGCAATTTTCTTTAAATAAAATGTGAATAATAGAAAACCATATCTTTTGTTATAATTAAACGTATTTCAATTATTTTTGTGAAATAGCATATTCTTTTAATTACAAAGTTTTTCAGCAAAATATTTCGACTATTTTATGTTGTATAATAATCTAAAATAAGAATGATTTTGGGGAGAAAAAAACCTTGGAAGATAATACTTACGATTATAAAAAAGGTGTTTCTTGTGATTGCCATTGATAATGCTATTTTCTATAAACTTTATAAGAAAACACATTATAAAATGTGTTATTGAAATTTGACCATTTATTCGGGAGGTTATGTTTCTTGAATATAACAGATAACAGGAGAATTAGATCTTCACAGCTTGATCAGCTTGTGCTGCAGTGGACTAAAATGTGTTTATATGTCTTCACTCATATTTGAATTTTTTAATCACAAATCAGACAAACGACAAAATGATTGAAATTTTATTTCGTTGTACACCAATGTATGAATATAATACAATCAAGCATTTCAATCAAACTTTACGTATATCAATAGACACTTAACAAATAGCATACACCAAAACATAGGTATAAATATTTGAATAAGAAGATAAAAAGACGATAATATATTTCCTAGGCAGGTGTATGTTTGAATATCACAACTTAACATGGTTGTAATTGTTCATTTCAGTGAGACAAATGTATAATTAGAAATAGTTTTCTTATGCACAGATATATGAACCTTGCAAATGTAAATAAATGAAAATTCCAAATTCCGAAGATTTTTAAACGTTAAAAAAAAACAAAAAAAACAATATGTTATATTTAAACACGATCCATTTGTCACAATATAAAAAGAAGAATATAACTGCAAATAAACACGAGATGTCTTGTTTACATGTATCCCTTTGATAAAATGAATTAACAACGGACCATTATAAATGAATATGGATATTTTCCGTTTAAATTATGTTTTCTTTTGATATATATTTTTGTTAATTTCTCAATATCATCCTTATCCATATCAGTTGATTTAATCTATATGACCATTCATATGCATTACAATGACGCCATCCCGTTTGCAATTAATTCGAAAAGGCACTCAATAATGACGTCATATAAACTTACAAAGATGCCGACGTTTATCGATTTATCTACAATCGATGTAAACACGTTGCATTTCTAAATATCTAAATATTGAAAATAAAAATAATTATTTACGATACTTTAAATGAGACTTTACTCATAAATTTCTTTTCTGTTTTTGTTTTCACTTTTACAACAGTAGACTGTGATATAGAACAGCAAAAAGAGAAAAAAAAACTCGAAAATATGTATTGAAATTATTCTCCGATTGAAAAATAGCGTTATCGATAGCCCTCAACTTGTCTTTTTTAGAACTGAATATATATCAATCTATTAACGGCTATTAACACCAGTTTGTCGTTCTGATGCAAATAAAAAAATACCAATCAGGCCTAGGGCTATCGTTGTGAATTCTTACACATCAAAACTCCGAACCATTGTGAATAGCCGATACACACAGCTGATTAAGTCATAATCTAAAATTGCATAGTTATTGTAATGCTTTTTCATAAGGGAAAATCCAAACACACTGTTTTTCTACTCTATAAAACGTTTGTGGAGACCCTTACTGGCAAAGAAAAGGCAATATAAACAGATCAATAAATCAAGGTTTGAACAATATTATTATTTCAGGAAAAAATGTCATCATTTTATTTGTTTTGTTTTTTAAATGTCATATCATATTTATTGCCAACTTGTCTTATATATAACGATAGGTTTTTACATTTTCAGTGACATTAATCGAAATGATCTAACTTATGACATGATTTTAAACGACATATTAAATGAAATAGCTGGGAGATCATAGCACGCCGTAAAAACATTCTTTTTAAGGAGCTTTGAAACCTAAGGTAATGGCATTATTTGATGAGTTATATCCAATTTCTTGGCATACATATGTACTAAGATTAATTCATATTTGGTCATTATTTTCCTCTTGTTTGGCAGAAGAAGGGGCGGAATTTGTCGAACAACCACATGAAATATATTATTAATAGCCTACGATAACAATTTGAACGGTGTAATTGTCGAATCAGATGTTTTATTATGCAAATTACATCATGATATACATGTGTAGTAATAAGATTGGTATAATATTGTTTTTATTAATTTTATGCCGTGATTAATGTAGTGGATAAAATATACACAAAAATAAGATACTTTGTACGTAACCAACTATCTCTTTGGTGTCTTGACCACCTATTTCATGACAGAGCTGTCTCGAAAAACAAATGTCCTATATTTTCTTTAGTAACTAATGTGTTGTTCTGATTTAAATTTTATCTGATATCTGTTTGAAACGTTTTTTTTAACTTGAATCGCTGTTATGATAACAACTGGATAAAAAATAATCTGTTTCATGATAAAAAGGTCCATTTCAACGCTAAATTTGCTAACTGGGAAACGCCGCCACAACTACATTTCAAATACAATTATAACAACTTCAAATTATAAATCTCAATCAAATCTACATAGCATAGCAATCTCCGAATTTCGATATTTAGTGTAGAGTTTACAAAATATATAAAAATGACAACATTTGACACCTAATTTTAGCGACATGAACTTGCTCGGAAGTAGCGATAAAGCGATTGACCGTTTACCCCAGAATGAGGTAGCTGTATTGTTTACTAGGCGTGTATTGAGTTGTCTAATACTTTTTTAAAAACATGTATCGATCATTTCAAACTAACTAACCTTTTTTATTTTATAACTAAATGTATATATTCACAAAAAAAACTTTGATATTCTCTTAGATCAAAGCCAATAAAAAAATTGCAATCAACAGCCTCATTAAAAAGTTTATCTTATAATGCGAGTGTTCTAAAACTGATTACTAGCATGATCAAGATAGTTATTATATACATGTTGATGAAGCAGTCTTTATGATTCTGGTTTTGTTTACCGTTCATAACCTTACAATTTACCGAATTCTACCAGGTACAGTTTGTTCCCCAGTGCAGAAGCTTGTATGAGCAATAAAAGTTATAACATATCAAGATCAAACCTATAAGGTCTTAATAAACACATGAACATAGTACAAAAACAGCGGAAGAAATATGAAATATAAATAACACAAGAATAATGTCTGAATAAGTATTCCAATAAACGTGAGAAAGGAATCAAACACTCAGTGTGAATTGAATTTTTAATTAAAATCAGATAGATCCCTTCAGACAATGGTTACCTATCATAAGGTTTGTAGAAACTGTATTTGCTTCGTTTTCGAACTTAAATAGCAAGAACATTTGTACACGATGCCCAAAAGGAAATACTGTATATAATTGGTTTACGAATGGGGTCGAATTATATAGTTTTTAGTAGAGTGACTTGTTATTTTGGCAATAATAACAACACAAAAAAACGTTTACGTCAAAGTGACTCTCAGTAAACATTTCGAAACGCGTTCCTAAAATTCACAGTTTATGAACATAAATATCAAAAGATTTGTTTAATTGCATTTGGCTGATTTTAAAGTTAACACTAATATATCTAAAAACAATGTATGAATGTGCAGCGGATGTGTATCCGATCAATTATATGCTAGATGAAAATAAGCACCACTGTATAGTGAAATGTATTTTCTTTAAACGCATCACCACCAGAAGAAACCGCGGTGACTCCTGTTTTTCAATGTAACTTTAAGATGATGAGTACATAATATAGCAAATGATAAATTTGGAGTTATTTTTTATTCTGACTATAAAAATAAATTTATAAAAGTCACTTTTTCTCTTTTCTGTTTTCCTGTACAGACCTATATATTTTTCATATGCAGATTGGTATAGGCACTTGCAGCTTGATAGCAGAACTCAAGTTGTTTCTAAATTTAAAAAAGATGAACTTCATTAAGAACATACTTAGTGACGCATAAATTTTTATTTACTTTATTTACTATCATTTTACTCAAAGGCTTTACTTAAAAAATATTTTTAAAACTCATAAATGGCTATATTATGTTTAAATAACTAATGGCCGATTCTCTAAAATCGTTGTAACAGAGATTGTCTCTGTTATTTTACACACAGTATACAATTTAAAGTAGAGTAAATCGCCCATACGCTTCTTTTTTCAGTAAGGAGGTGATTGCAAAATTAAGAATGGTAATGACAAAATTATTGAAATGGTTATTAAGAGACATTAACGGCTCTTTATGTTACTGTCTACTTAAAAATGCATTATCTTGTATAGAATAGGGAAAATTAAAGCACAGTACCTGGCTTGTAATTGCCGATGGTCTCCTTGTTCTCAAATGTCTTAGACTATCGAGAATGTTAACCCGACGCTCATATTTAATTTTTTCCATCAGTATTATTACTCCACAAAATAAACCAATCCTCTCGTTTGCTTTGCTGAAATACATCATAAAAGGTTTACTACATTCAATTTAAGTGAGTTATTATTATTTACTAGTATATAATTTTCAATTTCAGTTTGCGTTCTTATTGTGTACTCGGTCTAAAACATTAAAGACTGTACAAAATCAAATACAGTTATTTGACTTGTAAAACCGTGTTGAAAACACTATCTGCACATATCCCGAAACATGATATGCTAACTTATTATCTATAAGTTTCTCTGAATCTTTTTCAAAATTGACTTTAACAAGTCCAAACCATAATGGTTTTTTTCCGGACTTTTGGCAACAATAACACAATTCTATTTTTGATTATATATAAATGAAATAATATTTTATTTTGTTTTGTTATTTACGTTTAATGATGTCTTATTTCTTGAAACGTTATGGAAATCTCTATCTCGTTTAACAATGTCTTTAAATAGATTAAAAGTTGAGATTTGTAGATGGTAAAACTTTTGATCAATTACTTACCATGAAAGAAATGTATTATTTGCTCCAAATAATGAGATGAATTGCATGTATTAATTAAAAGTCTTTTCTGTACAATGATTTGAGCGAAAAACAGCTTACAAAATGAGGTTTTTATATTTTTTGATACCAGATATACGAAAGCTTAATGAATTTTTAATAGAACAGCATTAAAATGTTGTCAGAAAAGTATTAATGTTTATTTTTAAAATGTCTAAAACAAGAACTAAGGTTAAATACTTGTATATTATAACAGGTAGGTAATCTGATGTTACGTAATTGGTATTATTATATGAAACTTGTCCTTTCATTTACTTGTGCTATAATATAATTATCATATTCATTTTTAGGTCACCTTTTAATGTTCTTTCATTTTTAAATTTGTTGAATATACTTACAACGTCATTGATATAGTTTTTCTGTAAGTATGTATTTATGTATGTATGTGCGTGGTGCATACGTTTGTCTATATGCATGCATATATGTATGTATGCAAATATCGGCGTACGTGCGTATGTATGTTTGTGCTCACATGTTGTTTCGTAAATGACTCTCTAAACCAATAAAATAATAATATGTGTTTGAGAATTAAAAAAAAAATTTTCGAGCTTACAGACAATGCACAACGACCGGTGATTTCTCGTCCCCTAATTCATTTGCATACTCCTCAACTTCATTTGCAAACTGCACGAATTCACTTGTATTACCAGGAATATCGTTTTCAGCTATCCATTGTGTGTATTGAAAGTGAATGATGCTCCTTTCCCCACTCTCATACTAAAACAAATAATTTCGAAGTTTAGACAAAAGTCTCACCTATCACTTATAACTTTTTATATTGCTTATTCAAGAATGGATGTCTACGTAAATGAACAACATATAAAATGTTGGAAATAAATTACCCACAACTGGTATCATTTGACAGGGGATAGTTAACTGTTTGTTTGTGGCAAAGATGCTAACAGTAACTAGCTGTTGAAAAGTTCTAACATTTCTAGAAAATACTTTTTGGCAGCTTTTATTATAATGCTTTATTTAGTATTTTCTTTTTCCTTTTTGTTCTATGAAATTATATTACAAATTCCTTAAAAGTACGATGAACAATCTTCATATTTAGTACCTTACCAGACAAGGAAATTCAGGTTCTAGAAAATGACAATATCATTAAATGAAATTCTACCTTTCCTGTATATTTTATCTTCATTTTTCGTATGATGTGTGACTTTTTAGTCTCTAATCTCGAGCATGACACTTTGAAGTTTCCAACAGTTAAGGTTTTCTTCTCTTCAGGAAGGTACACACCGACTGTCTATCAGCACGAACCATATATAGTATATAGATATATATTACAAAACTTTTTTTCTAACAATTCGTTATTAGATTGACTTTAAAGAAAGGTTATGACTTTTCAGTTTTACAATTGTAATAATTAGTTATATCTATCACATGAATTTAATTTTCAAGCATATTCTTAAAGAATATAAATAATAAATATTTAATATTTATAACATATATTATTCAATAAAAACTGATTTTAAAATATGTTTGATTTTAATATTCAAGCTTGATGGAAATATATTTAAGGATCACCACCCTCTTTTCCTAGTTTTCTGCCCCTTAATGTGAGGTTATTACTTGTTTCAGGATAACTATAAATCAAGCATGCCAATAATTTCAAAATATTTTTGAGACGCCATTTCTAGTCAGTATGCAAAATCATAAAGGGCATACCTCGAAGTAACGTTCTATCATTTCCCACAACCGATAGTTTAATAAAATCATTCTCCTAGACTTAGCAAAGTTTATATCATGGCAAGAAAGTAACTAACAAACACAAATTTAATTTATTGCCACTGTTTTGATTTATATCTTAAACGAGAAAAGAAAAACTCGCCTGAAGGGACTGATAGTTTAAAATGATAGTGACTTTAAATCATTTGATTAATTTGTTTCAATTATGATTCTCTTAAACCCTGCAGAGTGAAATGATATTCAATGCCTTTAGTTGCTTTTTTCTTCTTCTTTGACTTTGTAAAAAACCCAATTTTATACTTTAATATATTGATTGTTTTATAAAAGATATTCGTACTATGGTGAATGTTTTGTTATAAATTAAGCGGGATAAAACGAACCATTTTTACTGATTATATAAAATTTTAAAAAACAAGTGATTTTTTAAATGTTAGTAAAAATAGTACATTTACAATAATGAATATATTAATACAAAGATCTGTCCTAATCGAGAGATAACGGATATCTATTGTCACATACTAGTATCGATTCTCAAACCATTACTAGCAGATCTCTTGCTCGTATCTAAGGTTATGTACTGAAATGCTTAATTAGGCTAAGTAGAAACAATTCTTTTAGATACGATGTTAAGAAAGGTTTGAATTGTTTCGTAAATTAGTGTGTGCTTCTTAAACAGTTTTATCCATTTAGAATAAAGCATAATTATATAATAACCATTCCAGGCTCATTCAAATCTTCCATAGCGACAATACAACTACAATTCTCTTGGTAAATTAAAGCAAGGAAATCTTCAACCGTACTTGGTAGAGGTGATTGCGCTGCAATGAAGTGATCTTTTTTCTTGAAACTCTGCAATTAAAGGACAAATAGTTTTAAACTGTCCGACAAATTAACGTTAAAACGAAATTTAAAAATCTTAGTATCTAAGAAAATAATCTTCACTCATGCATAAGTTTATCTATTTAACAATTTGTTGTATCTTCAATCGTAAATATCATTTCGTAATCAGTCCTAATTGCTACATGATTATTGTTTCCGGATAAAACATGAGAACAATTACAATCGTGCAATTACATGTATAAGACAGCCATAAAAAAATCAATGTATTACTATTAAAGCACAGTAAAATAAATATAATATATTCAATAAGATACTTGCGTTTATGTATACTGCATTAATATATTCAGATTCGTCCCCTTCTCTGTTTAAATGAAGAAATATGCTAAATCGACTGCCTGAAATAAAAGATATTTGCCTAAGATTAAGTATAAAACATATACAACCTTTTCTCATTTTCTTATGTGTCATCAATTCCATAACATTTTACTGCTATATAGTCTTTTAGTATGTATTTTCTGGATTAATTCATGCAGGTTCTACCTGGAATGTCTGCTCCGCGACGATTTTTCCCCGATCGTTCTTTATTTTTGATGCGAGCTTTCTGTTCTGCTTCGCTGTCTGTTTCGATCGTCTGTTGCAATTGCTATACAATAAAAAATATAAAACGGTACGAACATGGAGCGTTGTCATTTGATGAGTCAAAAAACTTAAATAATGCATCAAAGTTAAGATAATCATATTAATCATATATTGCTTTCAAGAATATCTAAATCAGCTCTGGGACATTTCTATCTCTATGAATATATCCATTTTTGTTTGTTTATGTAAAAATACAGTGTGTCTGTCTATAAAGCAACATGCCTCCAGATGAGTCAAAATATTTCAATAAAATCAAACTAGAGAAAAATGTACTAAGATGTAAGACAAAGTAAAGAGTTTCAAGATTCAAGTAATATTTTACATATTTTGCGCGATTAATGACTGATTTTTCAATATTTACAATTATATCTCTACTGCGTTACTAACGCAGTAAATGCTTTCTATGCATATTTTGACAAATTTTTGGTAATTTACGTGATTTGTGTGTGCAATTGATAATGTGTAAATTACTTCCTTTTAGTTATTTCACAATATTACACATTTAAATACATTTTCAAATTTTTCATTGAAATTAGCATGAATCTGGAGGCGTACTGCATTAAGGATAAATCATAAACGTTTCATGAAATAGCAGATATCTATCAACGAATTAAATCATTTGGTCTTATTATTTGTTACATATTTATGTTTTATATTTGTTCATTTGTTTTGGTAATTGTACTTTAATTTTACTTTCATTAGTCGCATTCTGATCACAGTTGACAGGCTTCAAATAAATAAGTGGTAATTTGATTTTTGTAAGTAAATGAATTTTAAACTTTTTACCATTTACGAAAAACGAAAATGAACTATTAAAATGAACTTCATTTATAAGTTATTCCATACCTGAAAAAGCATGCTGAACATATCTCCATTTGATCGGTTAACATATTCACGAATTTGTTCAACGGGTACAGCTTCAGCGCGAAATGTCAGTGCCATTACCAGCGCTTTATGAATGTAAATGTATTGTTCCTGCACATGAAATTGAAATATAAGAAACAAAATCCTTAGTATAATTTATAAATCTAATTTGGTCAATTAAGTGTAGCAAAAGTCAGTTAAATGTCAACATAAAACATGCAAATGATTACTTACAAGTGTTTGAACCATTTTTACTCTCTGTTCTCTCATGTTCTTAACACATTCAAACACGTTCACTGAACCTTTGTCCAAGCCCTCTTCTATCAACCTATCGATTGCTATCAAAGTCCCAGTTCGACCGATGCCCGCGCTGAAAATATGTGCAAGTCAAACATTTAACTCATTGAAAAAAAGGTTAACATATTAAGAGTACAAGTATTATTCAGAAACCACTAATAAATATTCTTTTTGTTACATTTCAGCGTCTATATTATTTCAGAACACCTGCTTTATTTCAAAACAAATCTTTCAATTCTAAGAAGATAAAAAGAGTAAATTTTATATCAAAATTTATTTGTCTGTTTTATACACATTGAGAACAAGAACTTGAACAGATAAAATATCATGTATCGTTTATATTCTCTGAACAACAATGTTGTTGGGTTTGGTTCATACATCAACGACGGGCTCAGAAAACTAATTATTATTGTTTTGCTTAAATATCTGACCATTTAAAAAAGTACAGATACGGTAGAAACTTGATTAAAAACAAATCGATTGTAATATTATGTCGGTATTTTTGTCATTACATGCATTCGTCGATTATATCAAACAGGAACGTATTATTGAAGGTAAAAACACACTGTACTGTTTTGATTAGCTGGTTTGAATGCATTTTGTTTTGTTCTTATACCCAGGTACAACAAAGTTGTAAAGGAGGTATACTGGCATCAGCTTGTCCGTCCGGCCGTCTCCCGGTCCGTCCGTACGTCGGTATTTCCCTGTCCGCCCAATAACTTAAGATTCATTTGACCCATAGTCCTATTTGGCATGGAGGTTAGTAATGATTAGAAGATGACCCTATTGATTTGGGGGTCACAAGGACAAACGTCAAGGTCACAGGGGTCTTGTTAATATTTCGTAAACCTGATTATTATTTCGTAATTACGAATGAATATTTTATAAAAACAAATAAATATTTCGTAAAAACGAATTAATATTTCGTAAAAACGAATTATTATTTCGTAAAAACAAATTAAGTTTCGGGAAAAAGTGTGGAAAATATCACCTTAGGGGCTCCGTAGCAAATACTCAAATTTTAATATTAAAGTTTTAAATTTGTATAAAGCGCGTAAAACTGTCTTACACGTTCTGTTTTTCGTCGTTTCTTGACTATCATAATAGCTTTAAGACAGCTATTTTAGTATGTTGCTTTAGGAGAAAAGAAGATATGGAACAAATATCAGTAGAAATGCTAAAACATTTGATATTCAAAGTGAAATGATCTTTGCGATTGCTGCAATGATTCTAGTTAAAGAAAACGGAAAATAAGACGAGTCACGATAATTTGTTGAAATTCTTACACAGTAATAATTACTTAGATAATATAGCAAGACCATCTTATGTACTTAGGAGGTATTATAACTTACTATACATTATTACAAGGCAGTCTGGGGGCGGGCATATCCCCTGCTGCAGTAAAATTCAAACCTGATCCACCTTTAAATATTACTTTGGACGTGGAGGAAGCAAGCCAACTAAATATTTGGGTTATTGACCTGATAGTTTGGTTCTAGACACCATCTCATAATGATGTTAATTTGTGTAAATTATTGTAAAAAAGTATAAAAGTCAAAATCAATTATTCAGAATTTGACAAACTTATTTTTTTCATTTGACCTTTAAGAATGACCGTGGACTTTTTGTAGGGAACTTGTTGTCGCGTTGTGCACATCGTCTTTTTGTGATGATCATTTGTGCCAAGTTACTTTTCATTTGTTTAAACGTTAAAGAGCGGATACAAAATGCTTACTTCGTACGTTTTAAGACTGACCTTAACCTTTAGGTAAGGGACCTTATTGTTGCGCTCTGCACATCGTTTTGAAATGTTGATTATTTGTGTCAATTTATCTTAAAACCTACTCAACAACTCAAGAATAACAGTGTAGAGTTGTAAAGCGGTCACAAAGTGCCTTTCTTTACATTTGACCTTTGAGAGTGACCTTGACCTTGGGTGGCATATTTGACCTTTGAAGGTAACCGTTGCGTTTGGGGTAGCGACCTTGTTTTGTGCACTTTACAACGTCTTATTGGTGATCATTTGTGCTTAGTGATATTAAATGTTTAATTAGTTTACAAGTTAAGAATCGGACACGATAATGTTACAGATCGACAGTCTGGCAAACAAACATACCGGCAGACGGACCCTCCTCCAATCACCTCCCTACTACACTACAGAGGAATTATAGCATGCATTGATAACAATATGTATTATATATATTTCAAATAGTCATGAAATGTTTTTAAACAAAAGGACAAAAGAAAAGACTATTTGATAATTGGGCGATTATCTAGAAAGCACTATAACAGTGTACAGAGTCCAAAGATGGATCTTAGACAACATACGATATAACCTGAATTTAAACCTAGCCTTAAAATGAAAGCTATTATCTTGTTATGAAACTGAAATTCATAGTATTCTAGAACCTGCAATGTACAACCATTGGACCCTCTGAAGTCGTTGGCGTGCTCTTTAGTCTTTTTCGAAACTCAAGTAAGGTTGTGACGTCTTCTGGAACCGTCTTATCGGGCCATGCTGTGTAATGAAGATGTGTTAGTGAACGGTGTTCATCTTCCTAAAAAGAATTTAGTTTTATAAACATCATTCTGCAATATAAATATTATGCTGTCTCTTTGAATTTAAAATGTTAAAAAATTGAATAATGCATAATTTAAATGATAATAAATGTCACGACTTAAAAGTCGGATTATTAAGTATATTTGCCATATATTTTCCAGAGCTATAGAATTATAAAATCTAAAATTGTTGGGAATATCTGTATTTTAATTTAAATTTACCAAACGTTTGTAAATTAAATCATGTTTGTAAATTACAAGTAAAGAAGCCAGTCGATATTGAATTTTAAAATTGTATGATAAATTTGTAACGGAAAAGAAACTTTAATCTATGTCATTATAAATATATATAATGATATAAGTATGTGAATATTAACAATTGAAGTATAAACGTGAAATAAATATATTCATCATCACATTGACTGACACTTGTAGCAATTATCTTTTAAAATATAATAAATGATAAATCGTAATAAAAGTGTTTGATTCAAATGCTATCCGATAGTACCTTTGAAACCGTAAATTTTCTAATTGTATACTCTGCAAAAACTTCGGTATTTTTACTTGTCACGGTAACTTGGCCATATTGACACAAAGAAGCCTCATTTGGCCAGTACTGCTCACATTTCATTCCCTACAAATCAAGATTATTATATGTATTGATATAATATGAAAGGGCAATCCACTTTTCTGGTAACTAACATTAATATTATCTTTGAAAACATATGGGTGTGTTTTATCTTTGCATCTGTATATTTTATTTTATTGCAAAATGAAAATAGTTCTTTTTGCATTAACTTAATTGTGTATTCAACATTCACATTTAAATATAAAGAACCTATATATGTCAACTTACCGAATGTTCACGTAAGTTTGTTAGCATCACAATCAAATCAGATTTTTCGTGCCAAATCATTTGCCAAAAGGTTTCAAAGTCGTTTGTTGTTTTTGAAGTCGGCCCTTAATCACAGTAATTAAAAGTTTTGAACATAAGTATACATACAAACTGTTCCTTTTAGACTAATTGAAAAATACTAAACATTTAAACAAATCAAGTTACATATGACAAAAGTTATGAAGCATAACTAATCAATAAAATATTTTGCCTTTATTTGATTGCTTAAATACTTAATTATCTTATTACAATAGCTTAAAAGTATTTTGTCATAAATCATTCAACTGAAATACCTAGTGATGCTATGTATCTTCTACTTTGTCTGTACCCCTGCAATTAAGACATTTTTAATACATACATGTACTTGTAAGTTTATCGTGAAAAATTAAAACCGCGGATACTATTGAAACACAAATTGGCATCTTATCATTTCAGAATGCTAATCAAATTAAATGCTACTTACATCCATGTAGCATGCATTAATGAAAAAAGCAGCGTCCCCATGAACGTTTACCCTAGAATGGTCGTCTGAAACAAAATTGTAAAATAAATAAATACATCTGATACTACATCATTAACAGTTTAACCCTTTTAACACAAGGTAAATAACTATTTCATAATACACAATCATATCTTAATCTCTTATATATTTCCAAACAGTAAATGAAATAATTGTAATAAACGTATGCTTACATGGGTAAATTCCATTGTATCTATTAAGAGCAATGTTCTCAGGCTTTCTGGCAAAAGTGCATGGTTTTTGTAGCCCTGTTGGTAGTTTCTATAAATTCTTGCATTCATTGAAATTGAAATGAAAATGATAAGGACTTCAAAATGAGTCGTAAAAATGTTGCATGTTTTTAAAGTAACTGTTTTAAACTATTATCTTTAAAAACATATATCAACCATATACTTAGTAAATTTCAAATAAACGTTAAATCTACATGTAATTTTAATTTCAATTTTGTCAGTTAAGGTTTTATTTATATACAATTTATTAATTTATTCATTTGTATCTTTACATTTTTTATGATAAACGGTTAATGAAAATCTGTATCTGATGTATCCGTTGAACAATTACATATTTTTGACACAGACATTCATTTAGAAACACCAAGACGTATTAAATCATGATGTTGATAATGTTTGTATCCCCAGGCGAGGCCAGATATCTGTGGCAGTTGGCTTTGGACATTGAGTCGAATGGCCTTTTGTCACTAACCACTGATTCTGAGATCATGTAGGATTAGATTTAATAGAAGATCATTCGAGGATAACTTGTTTAACAAACAAACATACCTGCTGGTACTCAATTTCAAATGTATCTTTGCGCCCACATACATAAGCGTACAGCTCCGACACTCCAATTCTATCTAATTGTTCAATAATTTCAGGAGAATTTGAGTATTCAGTGATTTCACTAACTATATTTGGAACATCATCAACCTCCTGTAGATCTTCGAAAGTTGTTTCTTTCTCATGTTTTGTCTCACTTTTGCTTTTTTTCTTATTAGAAACCGAGTTTCCTTAACCAAAGAATAAACTAACAGATTAGAGCTTTGGTAAAACAATGCTAAGTTAAATAAATAATGTTGAAAATTATAGAATTCCTTTCCAGTTCATGAAGTTCATAACTATTTTATTTTCAAGGTGAATATATCTAACATCAATTTGACCTTTCTTCGTACTTATTTAATTGCTCTTATAAAAAAACGGATATATCTCTTTTTACATTTCAAAAACGTGTCTTTTCTAGTCTTGATATCAACTAACCCATTTTTCTTTTTAACTTGCCTATGAGTCATAAAATTTATGTAACAATAATAAAGTAAGAATTATACTTACCAATTAATGGCACATTTTGATACAATCCATCTGTTTCTTTTTTATTTCTAAAATACACACGTTGATCATTAGAGTTATGTGTTTATGAAATAAGGTCACCATTCAAATTCTTTTTCTCCATAATGCTGATTCAAATGTAACATTAACAAAACGATATCTTATCGTTTTTCAAAAAACAATACATCATACAAGCACGTCTTTTTATCCCCTAAGGCTTTAATGATCGCAGTTTGTTTAAATTATGCGGACATTTTATCACTGAATTTACTCAAACGTTCTTCTTGAGTCCAATTGGGTTTGGTTGATACATTAGATTCCTTTTGTTTTAGTCATTGCAAATTGCATTTATGAAATGTATAATTAAATTTTCATAATAGTAATTTATTGTTTAATAACAAATATATATCAGAAATCTAAATGTATTTCTGTATATATGCTTGAATGTAAGTCGTGGATATATTTAAATGTAAATGTGCTGGTCATTGCGTTATGCGCTTAAGTTTAAAAATGTTATCTACCGTATTTTGCATTTTGAACGCATCGATATGGCATGAACAAACAATATAATCTCCTTTCTATAATATTACAAAGTGGGTATGTTTTTAATCATGCAAAGTAATTAATTGCTGAAAAAATAACTTAAATAAAAGAGCTTTAATGATTTACATTGAAGCAATAAAGTAACAGGGAAACTTTTAGAATACATATAAAGTAAATAAAATAGAATTAACATCATTATGCCATAAAAGTAATACACCATAGTTCAATCTAAATTTTTTTAGCGAAACAATAAATTCAGAACAACATATATAACGTCATTAATTTTTATTACCTTCTTTTTATGAAAAATACAGCTAAAAGGATGCTCACAATCATAACAACAGCAACACCTGAAATACTTCCACCTATAATGCCGACATTTGTTGATGATTGTGAGTCTGCTCTTTTAACATTTACTGAAATATATACATAATTAAACCAAGTAGTACATAGGTAACACTGCATACAAATAATACAAGTTTTAACAATTACTTAGCTTTTACAATTGTTGCCATGCATTAAATGTCAGCAGCATCATTTTGTTTTTATAACTTTATCATATATACCGTTTGTTTGTCTAGAAATAAAAGCTTATGAAAA